AATTGGGTTCTGCTAAAATCGGGGTCATTAGCAGTGCTAATATGACTCGTTGGTGCTAACAAAACCTTATGCTAAAATCGAATTCTGCTAAAATCGCGTGTGCCAAAATCGGGGCCGTTCTGTATATGAATGGACCGTACGTATCGCTACATTAATTTGGTTTTAGTACTTTTTAATAATATCTTATTTTCATAATGTAGATATTGTCTAACCTTGTTATAATTTGACATATTTATTAATTTTAAACGATAATAGAAAATAAATTATAAATTAGAAAAAAATTTATTTTTATATTATATCTATAGCAATTGCAAATACAATTTGCACTATTATATACTTTATATTTTTATACAGTTACCAAATAATTTATATTTTACTACAAACAAACATACAGTATGTACTCGATTTTGAAATGTCATTTGGGCTGCAAATAGTTTATACTTAAATTGAGTATAGATTGTATTTTTATTAAACCAGATTTCAAAATAGTATTCTCAAAAATATTTTCAAATTTATTTGCATTTTCAAAATTTTCTACTAAAATAATAACTATCAGCGCAATTAAAGAATTTGATTTATACATTTTTAATTAGTATATTATTACTAATAATACATGTATCTTTTTAATAGCATAATAAAATCATGCTATAACAACATCTTGATTACTGATATATTAGCCATGTTGCCAGGGATAACATAGCAAATAGTAATCCAATATCAACATAATTTTTCTGACCATGGTTGCATCGATTTTTATCTATACAAAGAACCGTGTTGAAATATTCTTTGCTATTATCCAATAGTCCTTTCATTGTGTCGTATTTATCACTTGCATCGGTGCACTTTTGCTAATACATTAAAATAATAACATTTATATTTGTTTCAACTACCAGATAATCAAGCTCATAATATTATAGAAGATTTTACTAGATCTACTTTGAATAGGAATTAATAAAATTTTAAGAGATTCCTTAAAAAGTTTATAAGTCATAAATTATACCGAATAACACTATTGTAAAAATAACAGATAAATAGTTGTATATCATTATATAGGATACTCATCATAAAAGTAAACACATAAATTATTTAAATAATTGTTATTAAATTATACCTTGCCAAGTTTATTCGCACAGTCATACATGGCAGACAGGGCGCAGCATGCTTCTTTTGGATTGTCCACCGGATCAATACTAGTACTGATATCAAAATCAGGCAAACTGTTATGAATACATAATAACTCATCCTGTTGAATTTTAATAAAACATTCATTTTGGATCAATTGGGTGAATGCGTCCGCACCGGTGGGTAAACTTGTGGTGGTGTCTACCGGTCCACTGCCACCGTCGCAATGTTCTAGACCTTCCACAAACGGGTAGGTGGGACAAATTGCTTGTTGCGCTTGAGACTTATATAATTTTAAAAATATATATGTCAAAATTAATTTGAACATTATTAAATCGTAATTCTTACGCGGACAACCAACATCGCAACCATAAATGTCTTATATATATCTGGGTCACAACCTTTCTATTAAAATAAGGTATTATAAATATTAGAAAAGTAATATACAGATTCACGACTTTGTATTTAGCAACATAAAATAAATTATTAATTGAATAAATACAATTAAATATATATTAGATATACAATATAAAAGCAGATTAATTGATGAATATGTGCGTGCATATTCAATGATTATGCTAATAAAAATAGTAATTTATTTAAAAAATAATATTTCAATACCTTTCCAACACTGAATACACAGTCAAAATATATAGAGAGAGCACAACACCGGCGCTGGGGGTCAGCGATACCAAAGGTGTCGGTGTTGTCGACAAACTCGGGCACAACATTGTGAATACATACGCGTACTTTCGCTTCAAGTGCTTCTCCGCACTCATTAATTAAGTCGTCCAAAGACTTGCCCAGTGCTGGCCAACTATTGTTCACGTTACCGGTAATTTTACTTATTTGTGCTAGTACGATTACTACACAAGTTCTAATTTGTAGCTTATTCATAATGATTGACTGTCTCAAATATGACACGCAAACAATTATATAAATGTAAATCCTCAAAATGTGCATTTATTTTTATACTATTTTATAAATTAATAGGTTATCATATTGTTTCCACATATGCAAAGCACTATTCTTTTATTGATTAATATTCATTATAGGAATAACGCATTCGTTAACACTTATTGTGTCTAAAAATTAGATAATTTATGAATTAGATAACTTTATGAAATAGTTTGAATAACAAACAATAAAAGAAAACCGACAATATTAGACGAACCAAGGTAATAACACGGGTTGATAAATTCATGTATATATTAGTTATATGCTAAGTTAAAATGAATAAGTTTAATTATTTAATTATTTTAGTAATGTTTATAATATAAAATTAATTACTTTATAGAGATTTAAAAATTGTACATTATTATAGTAAAATATTGATCACTTTGGTCACCGGAAATTCTTAATTTGAATAGTCTAGATTAATACTATCATATTTTAATGAAACACACTGTTAATCATATAAGCAAACACTTTATATTATAAACTTTATATATTATATAAACTTTAACCCGGATTGCACGGCAATATCTATATTTAAATATTTAAATCTATATAGGTTTACTTGTTCTCTCTAATCTCATGTTAAAGTAGAAATGAGATTGAACAAGCATAATTAAAACTTATGAGAAAATAATTTGATATAATAGAAAATAATTAGCTAAATAATGGGAAATGTGGGCAAATTATTGTTCTTTATTAGTTGTAGTAATATTTATTGATAAAATAATAAAATCATTACGAATTTTATTTATAAATTATACCGACAATATTTTCCGCTCCGTATTATAAGCTAAATTATAAGTTTCAGTAACATTATCAATGTAATGTGCATTATCAATTAGTTTGTATAATATTGAATTTAATGAATTTCAAATGTCTATAGAATACAAATTAAATCATAGAAATATTAAAAACTCTTTAGAAATTAAAAAACAATTTTATGTAATCATATGCTGTCATAATATTGTTTTCATATGATGTATGATGTATTGTCTCATATGATGTAACAAACATGACCATTAAAACTTCATTACATCTAAAATTAAATATAAGTTTAAATAAAAGTATTCATTTTGCTCAAGTAATTCTTATGTTTAGTTTAATCATAACAATATTATTAATAATGTGCTCAAAAATTACCTTTCTATTTAATATGGCATTATTCTGTTTAATAATAAATACAAAAACAACGCTTGGAGTTGATAATAGTATACTATTTCGTAGATTCATCAATGAAATTTGTAAATATACTTTAATATAAGCATGATAATACCGGATCAGGTCATAGAATCTAAACTAGGTAAAATTATTTGCTATTTTATAGTAACGTACGAAACACCGGAACCATCGGATGTGTTAACCACTGATGAATACGATATGTTAACCGACATAAAACATAATACGGATACAGCCCTAAGCCATGCGAGGGATCAGTTACTATACCTGAACAGCACATTGACTCGACTGAAAGCATCGGGGGTTAAAGTATTGGTACTTCGGATCGTTTACTGGGAATTGTCTTTAAATATAATCGACGAACTGATGCAACAGTTGTTGATAGAGAGGGATGTCATCGACGAGTACAGAGTGTCCAACAATAATACTCGACCAGAAGTACAACATGTGTTGAATAAATTGACCCGTATTATAATGGCTTTGCATAGTTATGTGAGAGAACGTATGGGCCCGGCAGCTATTGATGACTTAGCATTATGTTTTAGGGTTTATATAGAAAATGACCGATTTGTACGTATGCGCTTTTATAAATCTAAAATATGCTACCCTGGTCAAGAATTTGGATTTGTGCGAGGGTTGGGCGATGGTTACGGTAGGCACATAGTTCGCTGCAGCGACCTAAATAAAGACTCAGATGATGACGATTAATGTTACATGTTAAATATTCACCAATAATATTTGTATTCTAAATATTTATAATTGTATGTATTTTTGATACAAATTATAAATCCTTTCAATGATTGAAAACATTTTGAATTTTAAAATAAATTCTAACAATTTATAAACTGTTATTTATACCAATAGATACCATGATATACATGAATATAAAGTTTTAATAATTAAATAATTGGATCCAAAACAAAAGTCCTATAATATAATTTTTAAGTAAAAAATAATGGTGATAATAAATTATTATTAATAATACTGTATAAAAATAAAATAATATTTTAGATTATAAAGATTACAATTAAAATAATTTATAATATTTAGAATTTCTTATGTAGAAAAACTGTAGACAATTAATTAAATATAATGTAATACAATATTTTGATTTTGCAATTACTACAATTGGTAAAATTTTAATTATTCTTATAATAATAATAATAATTTTTAATAAATTTAGTTAAAATAATAATTATTTTATATAATAATATTTTTCAATCAGTAAACAAGAATGAGCGATTTACATTATTATATACAAATTTGTAATAACAATATAGAAAGACTGTTGACAAATATTTTAATAAAATCTGTCATAAAATTTAAATTATCAATAAAATCTATTGGCAACTGATGTTAACGATATAATTGTTAAAATAAAACATTTTTAATTGCTATATTTATTTAAACACCTTATATAATTTATTATTTTAAATAGTTAATGTATTTATGGACACGGAATTCGTCGCCTCCAATGTTCTCATACAACATATTAGTACTACCGGTAAATCAATGTCATTTTATACGGTATATACCTTGTATGTGAACACCTGTAGATTGGAAGCAACAAATTCCGTGTTTATAATATATGATAATTTTGAATTGTTTATAACAAATACATTTAATATTTTATTAATAAAAAAAATATTATCAAAACTGCAATTAAAAACAAAAATCAGACAAAATATAAGTATTAGAAAATATAATAATTATAATTTGGATGACGCAATTAAAGAAAATTTTACTTCAAATTAATAGGTAGTATTTACCGGTAATAAAACTAATATTAAGTTAAGTTTAAATATGGTTCATTGTATTGTAGTTTGTAGTAGATTTATAAGTTTTAGCTTATAAGTTCTAACTTGTAAGAGTGAGAGTAATATTATGTATGTAGTAATTTATATTTCCTGATTTAGAAAAATTATATTTGCACCAATGTGACATAGTATTACCGGTAAAATTATGTCATTTTATACGCTATATACGTTATATGTAAACACCTGTAGATTGGAAGTAACATTTTCTGTGATAGTGAGTGCAACTTAAAGAAATTAATTGGAAATTTTTATTGCTTTCCTCCTGAATATACATTTTAAAGAAATATTTAGTAGTTTTAATGTAAAAATATCGTAAGTACCCAGAATAATTTTTATATCATTTATATTACAAGGACAAAAATCAGGTATTTTTACAAATTTATACAAGTATGAGAGATCTTTAAAAATTAAAAACATAATTTGATAAATTATATAAAATACTATTTACGAAAAATTAATAAGACATTTCAAATTTACAAAACCTTTACCTTAAGTTTTAAAAATATTTATCTTACAATTCAACTTATCATTAAAAGAATATGAAATAATAATATAATTTAATAGATTATAAAAATGGATTTTTATAAAAATAAACATATAAGTAAAAATTTATTATTTATTTTAATACTATTGTGTTGTGAGATATACTATAGTTTATCATTTGCGAGAACAACTGACATAACTATAGAAAATTATGCAAATTCAACGCAAAATATAACAACATTTTTTGATGCCCTCAATGATCAATGTAATTATATTTATTTTAATAATTATATTATTCAATAAAAATCATTAAATTAATTATTTTTAAAAACTTTCGTTTTAGTGTCATATAAATGGCCGCCACCATCGCAAAGTGTGGATCAGTTAACCGCCGAAGAATATCACATAATATCGGAAATGAGAAACACTTGCGATATAGCGATGAAGAGAGCGAGGGATCAGTTGTTGTCACTCAAGTCGGAAGCCATCGATGGGTTGTCTCGACTCAAGGCATCGACGGCTCAGGCATTGGCGCTGAGGACACACTTCAAAGAAGTGAAGCACACTTTTGTGAATGCACTCGACTTAATGGCTGACGAGTTGTCGAACACAACGGATATATTAAACTATAGAATAAACAACAATAAAAACATCACTTCATTACGCAATTATTGGCAACGCTTGGACTCACAGCTTAAGAAAGCGGTTAACATCGAGACTTCGTTTATGGTATTGTCGCTCAGGACACACATCGGGAACAGGGCTTTAAAATTAATCGATGAACTAATTGTAGAGTTGTTGACACAGAGGGATTCACTCGATGACCACCATTTGAGGGCTGGTCATAAACATTATACGCAATTACTAAATGAGTCAATAAGGTTAGACAATAAGGCGAATCAATTGTATAATTTTGTGAAGGTCTATTTGGGAGAGACGGCTATTGGGCAACTTTCATTATGTCCACTTAGCTTTCGCATCAATATTGAGTACCCCACAAATTGTATAGACCCGGCTCATGCCAGGGCTAGTAGTAATGATACAAACATCGCGTTGGCAATTGATAATAGAACAGAATTTCGTCGACTCGTTAATAATATTTGTAAGTATAATATATTTGCATCATGATGAAAACAATTTAAAATAAAATGATAATAAAATTATTTATTATATCAATAGTAAAGTACGAATCACCTAGTCCGTCTGATGTGCTACCCTCGGAAGAATGGTGGTGGTTAAATAGATTTCGAGATAGAGTATTTGTAACAGTAAGAGATGCGAGAAATCAATTGCTGGCCCTAAGAAGGTGGTTGGTGAAACGAAAAGTATCAAGCTCAAACGTGTCGGCGCTGATAACACGTTACCAAAAAAGGTCTTTAAAGGTAATACAACAACTGATGCAATATTTATTGACAGATGTGGATATCGTTGACAAGTATATTGAAAATACAATGACTAAAAACTACAAAGAATGGTTAGCTCACACTAAACTAGTGGCCAATATAATAAATAAATTGCACGATTTTGTGATTAATCGTATGGCCCCAGATGTCCTATGCATTAGAAGCACAATTTCCCGGTTCGATTTAAATAAGCCTAATGAAGTAGGAGTTTGTCCTATCTTTAGAAGTATGGGTAGTCGCGATGGGTTCAACCATAATACTTTTAATAACAATGACACAGCCCACAGTCCTGTTAATGGCACCGACACAGCCCACAGTCCTGTTAATGGCACCGACACAGCCCACAGTCCTGTTAATGGCACCGACACAGCACACAGTCCTGTTAATGGCACCGACACAGCACACAGTCCTGTTAATGGCACCGACACAGCACACAGTCCTGTTAATGGCACCGACACAGCACACAGTCCTGTTAATGGCACCGACACAGCACACAGTCCTGTTAATGGCACCGACACAGCACACAGTCCTGTTAATGGCACCGACACAGCACACAGTCCTGTTAATGGCACCGACACAGCACACAGTCCTGTTAATGGCACCGACACAGCACACAGTCCTGTTAATGGCACCGACACAGCACACAGTCCTGTTAATGGCACCGACACAGCACACAGTCCTGTTAATGCAACGGAAACTCGAAAAAAGAAAAGACCTGTATTAATTATACTTGCTAATAATATATGTAAATTTAATTTATTTATACCATGTTATAACAAATTATGTAATAATTATTGTATAATTAATGTATACATTATTTTCTAGTGACGTACGAAACACCGGAACTATCGGATGTATTGACCGACAATGAATACCATGTGTTGACACAATTCCGTAACAAAACAAATATAACACTAACCGAAGCGAGAGATAAGACTTTGGCCCTCTATATGGCGTTGACTATAGAGAGACAATCGGTCGCTCAGTTGTTGCCCGAGTTTGAGAAGTACTACAACACAACGCTTGTAAAGATATACGAAGAGCTGATCCAACGGTTGTTGACACTAAGGGATGCCATCGACGAGCACCGGTCAAACACTGACAACTATCAAGAGTTTGGGATCGAGGCTACCAGAGTGGACAACAAGGTTGACCAGGTGTACGGCTTTGTAAAGAAATATGCTGAGTTCAAACAACTATCCAAACTGTGCCGCAACTATTCCCCTGTTTGGCGGTTTGTGATCTCTAGACCTACTGATGGGGGCGTATGTCCGGCGGCTGTGGGTCGTGGCGATGGCTACGGCCGCCACGATGTTAAGGGTATCGGCACACCTGACCATGATTAGTTTTATTGTTTTATTTTTTATAATACGATTTAACAATTAAATTAAAGATAAATGACGGAAACACCCCTTTATATGAAATACTTTGGTCATACGTCTGACCATTTAATATGGAGAAGTTGAAAAGTTAAAAATTAACAAAAATTGATTTACCATGTTTTGTTGTTATTGTATTGCTAATAGTTTATTAGTATAATTTTAATGATTAAATTAATTGTTTAATTCTTTTGAATAAAAAACTTATTTATATTGTTTTAGTTTATTTTTTATAATTATTATTTTTAATTATTGTTAATAACAATTTATTTGCCAAAAAATAAATTAAACTCTTGATGAAATAGTATAGTGAATAATAATTTTAAACATGTTCAGGATTTAAATTTAGTTATAAAAATACTATGCTTCAAATGTTACAAATATTGCGATATAATAAATGACATTGACATTGAGAAAAAATAATTTTATTTTACATTATTGTATAACACTATAATTTAGTATTAGATTAGATGGTATTTAATTTGATATTCATAATGTAAGGTATCATAAATATATATAATAAAGCTCCCAAACCCCTTTAATTATTGTTTTCACACATAAGAATAAAGCTTATAAAATCAAATTATCCTTGAAATTTGTATGTACAAAAATAAAATGTAATATTTATGTAATGTAATAATGTCTTGTGTTTAAACTTACTCATTAATTAAAAGATTAAAATTTTAACAACATGATGACTATTAATTACTTAATTAATAACCAATGGGTTTTAAATCAACATTCAGTATGATACATTATCATTAAATATATTAAAACATGTAATCACCAAAAAATCGCAAAATATTTTTTGTTACACCCATAATAGTTGCTAAACAGAGAGAATGCCAAAGCCACGCAGAGATGCTATACATTAAACACATTTTGGAGTATACTTAAAATATCTTATAGCCTTACCATGGAGGAAAAAGCTAATAGAAAATGCATAGCCGTAGCACTGCCCATCATAAATTTAAACTATAATTATACATGTATTATAATTAGTATTGGATTATCATTATTAATACAAAGTTAATATAGTTATTTTGCAATTATCTGATAAAACCACCTTTAAATTAGTATCATTAAACATTACAGTATTATCGGCAAATCGTGAAATTTTTATCACGTTTTTAATATATATCAAATATATCATATGATATAATACTCTAAACTTTGAGAAAACAAACGTAATCACAGATTACTATAAATATGCTGTGTTACATTTAAAAATACATATAAGTTTGAAATTATTTTAATATTACAATTAATTGTACAAAAAAGTGTTTCTTGTGATCAGTTTAATATAAGACAAAAATGAGCTCAAAAATCATTGTAATTGATGTTATGCTATTGTGTATAGCGATTAATATAAACCTCATACTAACAATTGATAAAAGTTCCGCATTTCATCAGCTTGTTACTAATATTTGTAAGTATAAAAAACTTTATATAAATATATCAACGTGATAATAGCCTACAATAATTGTTTTTGCAATTAATATTAATGTTACATTTGCTACATTCTATTTAATATCTATAGTAACGTATGAAACACCGGAACTATCAGAGACTTTACCAGAAGGTGAATACGATTTTCTAACCGAAATGAGAGATAACACGTCTATAAGTATTATACGAACAAAAAATAAAATGCTGTCACTTAAGAAGGCTGTGCTTGAACTGAGAGCATCGGGCGAAGAGACATCGGTGGTGACCGAATTTTACCGTTATGGTTCTTTGATTAAAATTGCCAAACTGATCCAAGAGCTGTTGACACAACGTGATGCAATTGAAAATTACAACCCGGCCATGATTGAATACTATCACCACTTTCAGCACGAGTCTAACCAATTGGACAATAAGGTGAACCAATTGTTTGCGTTTGTAGCGAACAATATGGGACAGGAGGTTGCATATAAGTTAGCTTTGTGTTTTAAACTAGTTTCATTAATTTCGGATGAAAATATCATATTATACCGTTTTGATAATGCTATTGTAGATTTCACCTGTGAGTATCTTGATGTAATAAGTGGTGTAAGCCCTTATGCTGGTCGCGGTGATGGTTATGGCCGACATTTTGTTAAAGGTCATAATACTGATAAATATTTTAAGTAAAATATTTTTTTAAATGTGGCCGATTGTATTTCCAAATAAATAACATAGATTATGAATAGGCAGAACTTTTATTAATAATGAATTTTTATACACTATAAACGTTACAATTAAACTGTTCATCACATGCCCTCTCAATATAAGTGAATGGTTTGAAAGGGTAAATCATTTGTGTTTAAATGTGAATCATATTTGAATCACAATTTCATTAAACCCCACCACTCATATTAGTACACAGTATATATGAATAAAATACTATTTATAATTCTAGAAGTAATCCTAGCCTATTGATAACATAGATCAAACATTAAACTTTATATTGTTTTATTTTATACACCAATCAAAACAAAAATTATGTAAAATCCTATTAATTTTTAATAAACATGTTTATTGTATTTTAAAATTATTAAATATGTGAATATTACAAAACTTTAAAACATAAATAATTTTAAATTCTTTGCGACAAATTTTACTAACAAACATAAATTGTTTTTAATATATTTAGTATATTTAATAAACAATCTATGGTCTTTTATTAAAAGTATGTAACACGATGATTTAATTAAATACAATCATATTCTGACCGGTCAGTGCTTTGAACACAATTATGGTCACAATTGGCCACAAAGAGGTCATCAAACCCACAGTCCAGTCCTGTCCTCCCCTAATAATCCTATAGAAAAGGTTTCTATTGTTTTGATTATCAAAATACTGAGGAATCCCTTTGCGTTCAATCACTTGTTGGATGAGTTCAGGCGACGGACTCTTCAGATCATAGGCTAAACCAATGCAACGGAAAAAGTGAATGAAAAGTGTGGACGGATTATAGGACTCCCAAAAAGTGGATTCACTGGATGCGTAATCGCAGGGAAAGGTGTGGTGATAGTTATGGTTCCCCTCTCCCAGTGATAGGTATATAACGAGTCGGTTCTCTGTCGGCCGCATAGACCGGTCGTACGGCCGGCGACCGACGTAATGGGCCAACGAGTTAACGGTGAATAAGTGATGCAATGTTACNGCACATATGCTGTGCATACATGGTATGTAAGTGTCGGTGTATTTTGTGTACATTTATGGTATCTGTCGGTGTGTTTGTGTTTAACATAGTGTCAGGAATTAAGGTTAAGATATTTCACTCAAGACTTGAATTTCATGTGAAAGCGTTTCCACAGATGTCTTGAAAGTAAAATTCATGTGAAAAACAATGACAGGAATAGAGACAATGTGTTGGCAATTAGGGACACTATGTTTGGCCATAGAGTATGGGTTATGGTATGGGAGGCAATGGTATGGGAGTTAAAATTAGGTTTTGCCATTGGGTTGGGGTTGCAATGGTATGGGAGGCGATGGTATGGGTGGAAATGGTATGGGAGGCGATGGTATGGGAGTTATACCTTTATAAACATAAAATTCGTGACATTGTAATTTTGTAAACATTTTATGTCATAATAGATACAAGTCATTGGTTTTATAATCTTTGCTAATTAATTACTTATATAGTGAAAGGGAATGAAAAACAAATAAAAATATATTATAAGTGTATTAGTGTTTTTAATTAAATAATTTCCTGTAAGCTATGTAAAAATAAATTAAATTATATTAATTTAAAAAATAAAAAATTAACACAATTACGTTTGCAATAATATAAATATTAGATACGTCTATTATTCTCAGAAAATATCAATTTAATTAAATTAACACGGTCTAAATGTTTTTTTTTAAATTAAACATAAAAACAATTTTTATTTGAGATTTTAAGCCTAAAATTTTACATTTTTATAAAGTTTTATTTATCATTTATTAAATTACTTTTCGTGTTCTTACATAACATTATGAAATAAGTTTTGTTTTGTTTTACGCAAATGGTTTTTAATAACACACGTATTTGTCATATTAATAAATAACTTTTTATTTATGTAAAGTTTTTTTATATGTTACATTATACAATATTTAGTAATAATTAAACTCATTTAATTAAAAATCCAAATTATGATTTGAAGTGACGTTGAGATTATATTTCTTTTTACTATTAGTTTTAAGCTTAAAAATTGTTTTAAAAAGATTTGTTATTTTCACTTCACACCAATTAATTGCAAAATACAGTTAAAAAGTTTTTATTTAATTAAATGATTTATATAGCATTTATAGCACAATACATGTAATATTATAAACAAGTATTTAATACGTGGTTATCTTTTCAATCTTTAAAACTGTGCCAAATGTGTTGTCCTTAGTTAATGTTTAATCTGTTTGTCTTAATTATGACTTAAAGTTTTGAGTAAATAATTATAATTTCAACTTATAATGTATTTAAGTACTTATGTATTAATTATATAAATATTAAATAACAAAATCATTTTAATACAAGTATTTATTCCGGTGCCCTAACAGTATTTATTTAATAATTTTATTAGTAAAACAATGAATGTGTAGACAATGTCTGAACATAAAGAATCAATTGATAAAAACATCGATAATAATAATGATAATAACAATAATATCAGTTTGTCTGACAAACAGATTGATCAAAATGACTACAAAATAAATATTGATTGTGAGCATAAAAATGTTTGTACACTATTTGGGTATGGATTAAGTGAAATAAAGTGGTCAAACGTAATATTTCTGTTGAGCTTACATATTGTGGCCGTATATGGCTTTTATTACGGCTCCACAACAGACGTAACGCTGGGAACAGTTATATATCTCTGCGTTTTGTCCATTTTCTCGGGTCTGGGAATGTCTGTCGGTATGTCTTCGCAAACATTTATATATATTTTACTACATTTTATCATCTTATAGGAGGGCACAGACTATGGGCTCATAAATCATTCAAAGCTCGGTTTCCTCTGAAACTATTGCTACTTATACTGCAAACGACAACATTGAACGGCAGTGCTCTGGCCTACGCTCGCGACCACCGGACACACCATAAGTGGACAGATCAGAAACAGGACCCCAAGAATCCGAGTCGAGGCATGTTTTACGCCCACATCGGGTGGTGGCTATTGAGGAAGAAGGATATCGTTAAACATTATGGTAACAAACTCTCCTTCGACGACCTCTACGCGGACTCACTCATCACATTTCAACACAAATTTTACATACCATTAGCTATAGTGTGTGGGTTATTGGTGCCAACACTTATACCCTGGTGTTTATGGCGTGAACACCTGCTAACAGCTTTCCTATTGTGCGGTCCATTGCGCATATGTGTAACATTGCATCACTTATTCACCGTTAACTCGTTGGCCCATTACGTCGGTCGCCGGCCGTACGACCGGTCTATGCGGCCGACAGAGAACCGACTCGTTATATACCTATCACTGGGAGAGGGGAACC